TCACCAACATCTGCAGCCTACTAGATACAATCAATAGGCAGGAACTCGCCGTATTGTCCGCTAAAATAGCGGCCGCCACATCTGGCAACGAGCGCCTTAGAGCAATCTGCCAACACAAGACGCTTGTAGAAGCCCTATGAGCTTTTACGAGCCAACTATAAAAGACATAATAGTCCGCGCAATAAAACCGCGCTCCGCGGCGTCGTTAATTAGAATCATAAAAACACCTTAAATACCTAAGCAAGAGACATTCTTAAAACCTAGTGTACGCGATCCCAAAATCGCAAATTACAACATTGTCCGCCACGACCGGTTAGCAAACCGTCTGGGAGGCACATTAATTTACTATAAACGGTCCTTGCACTGTTGCCCGCTCGACATTCCAGAGCTAAGTCAAATAGAGGCATCTGCGTGTAGGTTAGCGCTCACCAGCCACAGGCCGCTTGTACTAGTCTCAGCTTACCTCTCGGGGAATAGAACCTTACTTCAAAGCGACCTAGATACGCTACTTAACTTAGGCCCTTCCGTGATAATTGCAGGAGATCTAAACTGCAAACACGGCTCATGGGACACCCACAGCATCCCAAACAACAACGGAAAGCATCACTTTAGCTTATCCGATAACCTAAACTTTAGCATAATCGCTCCCGCGACTCCCACTAGGTATCCTACGGTGGACAACTACCAACACGCGTCACCGAGTGTCCTAGACATCATGTTATTCAGGGAGGTCTCGCTCGACATCGAGTCGATAGAGACAATCCATGAACTAGACTCAGATCACAGGCCCGTCTTGTGTAAACTGGGCCAGAACGCCGGCGCGGTCCCTCTGACCAAATCCGTAGTAGACTGGTATCGTCTTGAGGTCAAACTCAAGGCCTTGGACCCCCAGGACTTAGTCGACCTACCCGAGACGATAGTTACGTTCGATGACGCAAATCGAGTGATAGCAAGTCTCCGAAAAACCATCACTTCCGCAGTTGCAGACTTGGAACGGACGGTGAAACTGTCGGGCGACCGACGATTTAACTTTCCGCCCAATCTGCGACTGCTAATTAGGCAGAAAAATGCAGCCAAACGCGCTTTCGACCGATACCGATCGGAATCGAACCGAACCATACTTCGACGCCTTCAGCTAGAAGTCAAAGATCGTGTATCGGAACACCGACATACAACGTGGGACACTCTCCTAGAGGACATCGAGCTATCGCACACCGCCTACTGGCGGTTGGCCCGCAGTCTGAAAGCAGACCCCCGCGGATCTCTACCACCGTTAATTAGACCTAATAGCGCTTCAGTAGCCCTAGATGACTCCGAAAAAGCCGAATGCCTTGCGGACAACCTAGAGCAACAATGTACGTCATCGCGCGAACACATCGTTACAGCCCACCTAACGGAGGTGGACCGCGTAATCGAGATTGGGGCTGCGCTTCCACCGGAAGGCGATCCTTTGAGTTCAGTGACCGCCGAAGAGGTCCAAGATATTATTAAAAACATAAAACCCAGATCCGCTCCGGGCCCAGATAAGATTAGTAACAAAATTCTTAAAGCTCTCCCTGGGCCGCTTATCTGTTTACTGGCGACCATTTACAACACTTTACTCTCCAGTTGCTCCTTTCCCGACGACTGGAAAGAAGCCACGGTTATCGGCATTCGCAAGCCGAATAAACCAGCCAACCAGCCCTCTAGTTATCGTCCCATCAGCCTCCTCAGTTGCCTAGGGAAGCTCTACGAGCGGCTTTTATTAAACAGGCTCAATGAGCACGTGTTTACCAACGGCCTTCTGCCGGCGGAACAATTCGGCTTTCGAGCTAGACATTCCTGTCCCGATCAACTATTCCGCCTAACGGAACATATCCTAAAAAGCCTAAATCACCCTAAACATATTAGTACAGGGGCTCTTTTCTTCGATGTCGCAAAAGCATTCGACAAGGTCTGGCGCAACGGCTTGCTTTACAAGCTGTACACACTCAAAGTGCCAGATAGGCTCGTACACACCATCCGGGCCTTCCTGTCAAACCGCTCTTATCGATATCAAGTTGAAGGCACCCTCTCCACAAGCCGCCGCCTCACGGCCGGCGTACCACAAAGCTCCTGCCTCTCACCTTTGCTCTTTACGCTCTATACGAGCGATATACCTAAAGACCCCCACGTCAATCTCGCGCTTTTCGCGGATGACACGGTGCTCTTTTATTCAGACCGCAACCTTATACAACTAACCACTCGACTCCAAAGCGCCACCGACCGCCTCGGCGACTGGTTCCGCAAATGGAGAATAGAAATAAATCCCGAAAAGAGTGTGGCGATTCACTTCACACGAAGTACTTACCCGTCACATCTTTATAATGGCCCTCGTCAATGCAGAAAGTTGGTGCAAATATCCCTTTATGGCCAACCGCTCCCCTGGGAGAAAAAGGTCAAATACTTAGGAGTCACTTTCGACTCTCTTATGTCATTTAATACGCACATTAATAACGTTCGCAATAGAGCCGCGTTCGTATCCGGCCTGCTACCCAATTTAACTAACGCTAAAAGTAAAATGCCCTTAAGACACAAATTATTATTATATAAGACCTGCGTACGACCTATTATGTATGTCCTACGCATGCATGACCTTTGCCCACACGCACCCTACTCGTTTGTACAAGTTGCAAATAGTACAAAATGAGTTCATCCGCCGCGCAACCGGTGCGCAGTGGTATCAACGCAACGTCGACCTGCACAGCGATTGCAGATTCCCGACGATTCACGAATATTTTAAAGACCTGACCAAACGGTTCATCGATAGAGCTGAACATCATCCCAACCCTCTGGTAGTAAGCGCAGCAAATTACCAACCCGACACAAACGCGAACGTCAACAAGCGTCGCCCGCGAAACGTCCTCATCGACCCGGTCGAGGAAGGGGACTTAAATACGCCGGACCCACCGCCGGGGGTCCCGCCGGATAACACTACGCCCACAGTTAGTGCAACAACAAACATACTAGTTCGCCCTCGCCTCCGAGCACGGCGAGACCAACACAACGCGTACACAAGAAAGTATTAGAAATAAAAATAAACATATACATATAAATATTGTACATAATACATACATAAATAGGACCCAACCAGACGATTATTTATTTATTATTACTATTATCTTCCATACAAGTATTTTTATCGCTATATTAAAGAAATGGCTTATATTTTACAGCATATATTTAAGCCACTTATTTTTTTCACATTTCTAATACACATGGCCCCTACTACTTACTTAATTACTGTAACATTATACGTCTTTAGACGCATAATTTTTGTTCTAGCTTAACGACTTGTTAGCTAACAAGAGTCTGGTGAGCTCGTAAAAAATTACGATATATTTAGATTAAATTAGACGGAGTAAACGCCTTTTTCATTATGTTCAATATAACGTGCCTGTTGAAACGACTCTTATAACGTCATGAAATAGTTAGTCTAGTGGATGGCAATTTCATTTTTTTATGTTAGAAGATGCCAAACGTACTGACGTTCAGTGGTAGATTTACCAGCTCTTTATGGTGACTACGTGGCGCAGTAGTCAAAGTTTTGGCTTCCCACAGAATCGAACCCACGTCTTCGGCATTCGCGGCCTGACGCTCTAGCCACTGAGCTAAACGGCTGATTACCACACCGACGAAAATCTTAACGGCTTCCTTCTACATTGTTTTCTTAGCATTTGAAGCAATGCTTGGCGCCATCTACTGTTATATCCTTTCCAGCATACCAACAACTTCGAATATCGTTTTACAACGATAATTCGAACGAGAGATGTCGCCATTGCTTTTTAAGAAATTTAAATTGTTTATAGTGCTTGTAAATTTCTTGGCTCAGTGGCTAGAGCGTCAGGCCGCGAATGCCGAAGACGTGGGTTCGATTCCCACAGCGGCGACAATCTTTTCGCACTTTTTCTACATATTTTAATGTATATTTTGTTCCCTAATAGAACAATTGACTATTGACAGCGACAATTAAAACAGGAAACTTACACCCGGTTTCTGAAACACTAATTGTTCCTGACGTCGCGTTTTCGTCATCGCGGTTTTGCGTTGCCATTGGCTGCTGGACCGATCCCACAGCAACAGCGGTCATCGCAAGCGCACCTCGGCATCGCGACCCCACCAACGCGACACTCGCTCACTACCACGCTGGCAAACGCACGTACACCGGCCTTCTCAATATTGTAACGATCCAACGATAAATACACAGTTCATTTTATTGAAGATTTTTATTATTCAAGAATTCTCATTTAACCGGAGCTTGATATTCAAACATTGGTCCTTCGAGTTTTAAAGAGAAAGCCGTCTTATTTACTGTGCAAATTGCCCGTGGACTTTGGACAATACCACCCGCCGGACATTTGAAGAACTTTTAGAGGACATTTAAAGGGCGGTCAAAGGCATATTCTGAGTGAGTCCGTTCCAATCCTTATATTTCCTGCCTTTCTTAATAATTTTATTTCTCCAGGAAATTAAAATAGTGCTATATGATTTAACGATTGCTTCTTCATAATGAATTATCGTAACCTAGTTTTTTTTTTCTTCTTAGATCTTTTTTATTCAATTGTATAGCCACAAACCTGCTTCATATGCCTTTTAAAAGCTTAAACTTACCGAACGTATTTTTTGAATTTTAATATTCCTTTATATTATCTTATAGTGCGAGCTTGTTTTAGCAGCTTTCAATTTTATTTGCCTTCTTGCTAGCTTTGCTACTTGCTGCGCCTGCAACCGTTTTATATTTTTTTCTATTTTTCGTGTACCTACATATTTTTTTTTTCAATACCGCTATGTCTGAAGCAAAATTAAAAGATCTTGTAAGAAAGCGTGGAAGCTTAAAAGCAAAGCTTACTCAATTTGCTACTTATTTAAATTTAATTCAGCCTTGCACCAGCTTAAGCCCTTCTCAGCTATCTGAATTAGAGTTCCGTCTTAACAAGATAGAATCGCTTTATGGTGAATTCGACTTGTTTCAGACCGAGTTAGAGGTATTGTCGGAGGACCCAGACGCGGGGTATTCTGAGCGTGAGCAGTTCGAAGTACAAGAGTACGCGCAGGTATCCCGTGCCCGTGCGCAGCTTTCGCAGCTTACATCTGCCTCGGCACCTACCGCCGGCCTCAGCGACGACGGTACCCAGACGGTCGGCTCTGTCTGTAAGCACGACTTCGTGAGGCTTCCAAAGATAGACTTGCCTCACTTTGACGGTGACTATCAGCACTGGCTCGAATTCAGAGACACGTATCTTTCCCTTATTCACAATAATAACAGCATACAGGAAATTAACAAATTTCACTATCTCCGCGCTGCATTAACAGGCAGTGCTTCATTGATTATAAAAAGTATTGATTTCAAATCTACTAATTACTCCATAGCTTGGCAGTTATTGTGTGAGAGATACGACAATGAAAGGCTGCTAGTAAATAATCATTTTCAGGCTCTTTTTGCATTTTCAAAAATGCAAAAAGAGTGTACTGAGTTATTGCGTAACATGGTTGACGTAACAAATAAAAACCTAAGGGTGCTTAATACACTTGGGCAACCAACCCACCACTGGGATACACTTATTATATTCATAATGTCCAGAAAATTGGACTCTGTAACTAGTCGGCAATGGGAAGAATTTAAAAATAATTTATTTGCGTTACCCAATTTAGAACAATTTATTAAATTTTTGTCGAATAGAGCAGACCTTCTTGAAACATTAGACAATAATAAAAATATTTCTTTCACGCCTTCTTCATCATCTTCGAACAATACACCAAAATCTAAGAATTTTTACGCAATTACACAAAACTCTAAGAAAATAACGTGCCCTATGTGCTCTAAAGACCACTTTTTGTTTAACTGTCCCTCTTTTAGAGACCTTGATGTTGAATCGCGCATTAGAAAAGTGTCTGAAAGCAAAGTCTGTACAAATTGCCTTCGACCAGGCCATGCATCACAGCGTTGCAGTCTTTCTCTCATTGCAAATATTGCAAATTTAAACATAATACCTTGTTGCACAAAGAAATATCAAAAACGCAACCAAAAGTAGACAGTATAGTACTTTCTTCCAACCTTGTTTCCTCCTCACCAAAACCTTACCATAATAATCAGGCTCTTGTATTGCACTTTCCACAGCATTGGCAAAAGTATCAGACATCAACGGAGGCCTTCACACTGCTAGACTCCTATTGGATAACGGTAGTACATCAAACTTTATCACCGATGACCTCTGTGAAAAGCTCGGTTTGGTAAGATGCAACACTAGCTCCACAGTTACAGGTATTAACGGTCAAATTTCTAGTACCTCACAGACTTGTAAATTAAATATTCAGTTTTGTTTTGGTGATTACAAGGCGAGCCTTAACTGTTTTATATTACCTAAAATCACTAATTCGCTGCCTAGCTCTTATATAGATATCCATCAAATATCTATACCGCCAGGTCTTCAATTAGCGGACCCTACCTTTAACATACCTTCGGCGATCGACATTCTCGTGGGCGCCGAAGTCTTTTGGGCCGTACTAGGTTCCAAACACATAACCTTAGGTAGTAATAAACCTAAGCTTCATTCTTCAAAATTGGGTTGGCTTTTTTCAGGCTGTGTTTATCAGTCACCTTATCGTAGTCAGCCTTCCCAATGCCATTTCATTTCTCATGAAGAATCTGAACAGCTAACACGCTTTTGGGAGTTAGATTCCGTTTCTACCGCGCATAGCCTTTCCTTAGAGGAACAGATGTGCGAAAAAATATTTAAAGAAACAACGCGGCGCGACGAAAGTGGCCGTTTCGTAGTTACCATACCATTGAAGGACCCACCTCAAAGTCTAGGTGACTCTTACGTTACGGCGAAGCGTCGATTTCTTTCACTGGAGCGTAGATTCGAACGTGACACTTCCTTTAAACAAAAATATTTAACATTTATTAATGAGTACATACAACTTAATTACATGACCGAAAACAAAAAATCTAATCGCTTTCAACATAATAATTACTTGCCGCATCATGGTGTTGTACGCGAGTCCAGTGCCACAACTAAACTACGTGTGGTATTTGACGCTTCAGCTGCAACAACCTCGGGAAAGTCCTTCAATGACATCCAAATGGTGGGTCCAACCGTACAAGAGGACTTATTTTGCTTCTTTTACGGTTCAGGCAGCACAGGTTTGTCGTAACGGCCAACGTCGAAAAAATGTATAGAGCTATTTTAGTGGAGCCTAGCCAGCGGTCGTTGCAACAAATTGTATTTAGATTTGAACCTTCTGAACCTTTAAAAACATACACTCTTAATACAGTGACCTATGGCACAGCTTCAGCTCCGTATCTTGCCACAAAGTGTTTGGTGTCCCTTGCTGATGAGTGCACGGACCCTAAAGTTAGCGAATCTATTAGACGTGTCTTTTATGTGGATGATTATTTAAGCGGCGGAGACTCAATTGCATCAGTCATTGAGCTATGTCGCAGCGTTGTTAGTACACTAGGATTAGCTAAATTTAATCGTCGAAAATGGCAATCTAACAATACGGAGATTTTGGAGTCGGTCACAAATTTAATTAATCAGCGCTCAGAAAAAGCTCTTAACCTTAATGATTTATCTCCTAGTAAAACACTTGGCTTGTTCTGGGACCCTAATTTAGACAAACTCTTTTTTTCCATTCAATCTATAACTTCAAATAAAATAACAAAACGTATTATTTGATCTACAGTTAGCCAGGTTTTTGAGCCCCTTGGTCTTGTTGCACCATGCATTGTGCAAGCTAAAATTCTACTTCAACAGCTTCGGGTGCAAAAATGTAATTGGGATGATGATGTTCCCGCTGATATAAAAACATCATTTATTCAATTCGTCACATTACTTCCTCATCTTAATTCCATTCGAATACCCCGCTGGGTCTCTTGTGTAAACCCCGTTTTAATTGAACTTCACACTTTCACAGATGCGTCTGAGCGCGCTTATGGCGCGTGCATCTATTTTCGGTCTGTCGCCGAAGATGGAACGGTTTGCGTTCGCCTTTTAGCCTCAAAAAATAAAATTGCTCCAATAAAGCCAACAACTATACCCCGTTTAGAGTTGTGTGGCGCCTTGTTGGGAACGAGATTGTTTCTTAAGGTGCGTAAGTCACTCACCTTACGTTTTAATAAATTCTATTTCTGGTGTGATTCAACCATTGTGCTTGGTTGGCTCTCTACGCAACCGAGTCGACTTAACAGTTTTGTCCGTAACAGAGTCTGTGAGGTACAAGAAGCCACAATAGGTCAGACGTGGAGTTATGTGCCATCTAAGTTAAATCCCGCTGATCTCGCATCCCGAGGGGCGAAGGCTGATATCATCAGCACATCCGATCTTTGGTTGTCGGGACCAGAATTTCTTAACAATCCTACTATTATTTTTCCCGCATCCCCTAATACTCAGAATATTACTTTACCCGAAACTTCCTTGCATACCTCTGTTAAAAATAATGAAACGAGTAACTGTAATAATTCTATTTCGCAGTTGATTCACAAATTATCATCATTTACTAAACTTATTAGAACATTAGCTTACGTTAAAAGATTCATTTATAATTGCAGATTTAAACATGATAAACTATCTTCTTACTTAACCTTTTCGGAATTGCAATGTTCAAAAAATTTAATTTTACAATTTGCTCAAAAAGAAATGTTTCCTAACGAATATATTTGTCTTAAATCTAAACAAAATTTAAATAATAAGAATCGACTTTTAAGCCTTTCTCCTTTCATCGATTCAAATAACATATTACGCGTCGGCGGACGTCTTCAGAACTCTAATTATACTTACGATGTTAAGCATCCTATATTACTCTGTAGTAAACACCACTTAACCAAAATAATTTTTAAATCTTTACACTTATCTCTTTTACACGCAGGGCCACAATTACTTTTAGCAAACGTGAAGCTTACGTATTGGCCTCTTGGTGGCAGAAACTTAGCTAAGCAAACTGTACGTAATTGTATTCGATGTACTCGCATAAAAGCTCAACCTATTCAGGTCATCATGGGTAACTTACCTAACGATAGGACGCAACTTGAGTTCCCATTTTTAAACACAGGCTTAGATTACGCGGGACCAGTGCTGATAGCTGACCGTAAAGGCAGAGGGTGTAAGCTAGTAAAATGTTACATCTGTGTTTTTGTATGCTTTGCAGTCAGAGCTGTTCATCTGGAGTTATTTTACGACCTAACAAAGGAAGCCTTTCTTTCTGCCTTTTGTCGGTTCATCGCTCGTCGTGGTAAGCCACAGCGCGTGTACTCCGACAATGGTACTACATTCGTGGGAGCTTTCAATGAGCTTGCACGCTTCTTACAAGTCTCTTGCAGTGAGATAGAATCGGATATCGCGAATCAGGGCATCGACATTAAATTTATACCGGCTTACTCGCCCCATTTTGGAGGTATTTGGGAGGCTGCGGTTAAGTCGACTAAGCATCTTTTACGTCGCACCCTTGGTCTTAGTCACTTAACTTATGAAGAACTTTCGACATGTCTAAGTCAGGTAGAGGCTATTTTAAATTCCAGACCCCTGACGCCTCTATCCACCGATCCTTCTGACCTTTCTTACTTATCTCCTTCCCATTTTCTTATTGGACGGCCGCTCACCTCAGTACCGTATCCTCCAACCTCCGACCCCACCAACGCGACATTCGCTCACTACCACGCTGGCAAACGCACGTACACCGGCCTTCTCAATATTGTAACGATCCAACGATAAATACACAGTTCATTTTATTGAAGATTTTTATTATTCAAGAATTCCCATTTAACCGGAGCTTGATATTCAAACACTAATCATCGTAGAAGTTAACTAATTAGCGGTCAAATTGATTTTCAAATGTTATTTGAGTTGCCAAATGGATTGTTAAACAATCTGAATTGATTAGAATGATCTTAATGAATGCATAATCATAATGATTAACTCAAAGCGTTTAACAATCTTTTTGGCAACACAAATAACATTCGAAAATCCATTTGACGGCTGATTAGTTGACTACGATGATCAGTGTTTTAGAAATTGGGCGTTAAGCTTGAAAAATGAACAGTAGATTTATTACTGTATATACATATACATCCAACTCCAAGTGTCATTCAAAGAGAAGGGAGTTCATGACGCGACGGAAAAAACAAAAAGATAATTAGCAAACGTTACCTTTCCTCCTCTGGAAATTTGCAATGCCTCGAGCGCATTTAACTCCCGACGTTTACTTCGCTTCCTGTCCTAGACAATGACATGACGGACTTCAGAAATAATTACATATTTAAAAGTAAGATATAAATAAGTTTTAATAATGTCTTTTAAAAATTTAAAAAGAACTTAGATTGTTTAATTTAAACTGTACAGACATAACAGACGTTTTAATTAAGTTATTAAGTACAATACCCCGTTTGTCAGTTTAGGTTCCTCAAATGCTCGTAAACATTAATTTGTCTAAGCAGAGCGACTCTGCAATTGAAAATTTGAAATGTAACTCAAGTACGGTAAGTTTGGAGAGCCATAGCGGATACTGAGGCTTAAACCGTTGAACCCTGAGCTATAGAAGCACTGCGGGGCCTAGAAATGACACCGGGCCAACCCGCTCTCCACGGCAAACAAACAAGGAGGGTGGAGACATCAAGGTTAAACATACAGATATCAAGAACACCCTCGAACAATATACCTAAAAAACACGAGACAGACACAAACACTACTCACAAGAAACAGCTGCAAGAACACGTGCAGCCCATAACTGAGGACACCAGGAGGCAATACTCTCGGAGTTGAGGATGGTGCGTGAGGTTAAGCAACAAACACCTCTTGCAGCTGGTATGGCAACTGAATTATTACTGTATGAGCCCTCCAGCTCGTTTGCCCCTTTTCTCCATAAAAAAACCACACACATACACACATAAAGGTCGCTGCCACTGTTCCCCCCCGCAACCCGAATACCCCGATCGTCTCCTCAACTGACCCTAAAAGATCTAAGAAAGGAAAATGTCATCGAGACGATCGGGGAAGCACTGGATATAAGAAAAATTGGTTCATTTTCGAAACATACAGAAAAGTGAGAATTCGCTCGAGCATTCCATTATATTGTCGTCGCATCAGGAGACGGCCTTGAAGGATATGCTTTCCAGTAAAACACGAAAATATAATACCAAAAAAGCGAAGCAGAACGACGCTCTATAGTGAGATACACCAAGAAAAAATCATAAACAAAAAGTAATGACAAAAAAATACCATAGACAAAAAAAAATTATTATAAAACTTTCACAGAGGTTTGCGTTATTATTCAGCACAGCCGTGATTGCCTGTGGAACGATTTTCTACTGTCCTCTGAGAAAACGACACAAATTGATTTCAGAGCCTGCGTTATAACTCTTTGGACTTAAGTGCCTGACATTTATCATCCGAAATAATATAGGAAAATATTTGTCACATAAACTTCATCCTCATGTTGCACAATATGATGCTCATATTTTTATGATAGAATCATTTGTCATTTGTAATCATACCGTTCGTTTTATTCGTCTAAAATCATTTGTCACGGTCAAAAAAGAACTGGTAATGATTTTATCATGTTTATTACGTCTTTACGTTCATGATATATTAGAACTCTAGATTTTGTACCTCCCTAACGCAGCTTGAATTTTTCTTATTTTTTTTTCTCTTAGTTTCGGATGAATACAATCCACGGGGAACAGTCTTGACAAAGTACAAGGACTTGTGAAAAAGAGGAAAACAAAAACTATTCTGAATCCGCTGACAGTTCCGTGCATTCACACATAATTTATGACCTCTTATAGCTCAACCCCTCAGTAGGCGCCGAGCAAAGAACAGCGCTCTAGAAACCGCACGGCGTCATCTGTGACGATCGTAAATATTCTATTAAGCCTGATTTATATCCGTATCAGAACAAAACGAGTTTTATGACCACATTCCAGGTTCTATTAATTTCAGCTTGTCTCTCAGCATAGAAAAGAAAAAATGTTTCCACAAATTAGTGTTTAATTCATCCCACAGATGTTCAATCGGATTCATGTCCGGGCCTCTTTCTGGCCATTCCATAATGCAGGTACCGTCTTCGGTAACAAATTTTTGTACGATGCTCGCGGTGTGAGCCCTAGCATTGTCGTGCATGAACATGAAACCGTTGCCAATAAAATGAGCATAGGGCATCACGCGAGGGTCAAGACACTGTTAAGTGCAGGCGGACGTGGCCCAGACACAAAGACAAGCTCTATCTTACCATTGGCGCCGATTCCTCGCCAAACCGTCCACGAACCGCCACAATAGGTCTGCAGTTAATTCCGGCCCATTTGCTAGCTTGTGCGGTACGAGTACACGTTCCTTCAACCTTCTTCTAAGTGTAGAGTTACAGACTCCCTACGTACAACATGATGCTGCTGCAGTGGAAAAGCATTAAGGCGTGGATTTCGTAAGGAATTTGTTACAAAAAATCGATCATCTCGCTCAGAAGTGATGGTCACTTCTGATCAGGAATCATCCTGAAACGATTCTTAACGGTGCGTGAACAAACCACTCACCCGATAGCGTTTGTAGACTATGAACAGATGACAGACGTAGATGCAAACTATTTTTCAAATTATCTTCGTCTTTATTCGATTTGTGCTTTATGGTAGTAACTATGTATACACGATTGATGATACTGTTACACCGTAAAACTCTTATGAGTTTATGTTTGTATCAGTTTAATAAGTTTGTAATTTTTTTTTATACAAATAAATTAAAAAAAAATCTTTCAGCCACAACACGCTGACTAAGTCCAGAATTCAGCAATGCCACCACTTGTGGTCGCTTCTGCGGGCGAAGTATCAATATGTTTTAGAAAAGAAAACTTTCAGACTTCCCAAAGTCACAGTACACACACAGTATACAGAACACGGAACATAAAGTTTTAAGTAAGTGCTAATTTTTAGTTCTAAGCTAAAATGTACTCTAACTTAACTTGCGTGTGATTAATAAAATAACGTATTAAAAAAAATGGCAGTAACATTTTGGCCAACCTGAAGCTAGTAATTTTTAGGGTTCCGTACCCAAAGGAAAAACCCCTAGGGACCTTATTACTAAGACTCCGTTGTCTGTCTATCTGTCTGTCTGTTCGCCTGTCACCAAGCTGTATCTCATGAACCGTGATTGTTAGACAGTTGAAATTTTCAAAGACGATGTATTTGTTTTGCCGCTATAATAACAAATACTAAAAAAAGAATAAAAAATATTTAAGTGGGACTCCCATACAACAGGCATGACTTTTTTGAAGTTTTCATAGATAATGGTACGGAACCCTTCGTGTGCGAGTCCGACTTACACTTGGCCGGTTTTTTAAGTAAGAAACGACTCTCGCACAATGTCGAAAATGCTTAAACTGCAAAACCGTAACATTTATACAGAAACAGATCAACCCCACTTCATATTAGTATCTAGCTTCATTAATTCCAAACCAAAAGTTACTGTATCCCGCGCTCGAAGGGTTACTGTTTTTGCGATCATTTCAGTTCATTAGTGTTAGCTTGGGACGCCCGAACCCGCGACACTTTGCTCGGTGCTGACTGCAAAACAAATATTTAAATACAAAAACTCTAATAAATATTACACATCGTGGGAAAGAGAAAAATGCCCAATTTCGGTTTCGTAGAGCGTTATCTCTGTCACACATATGTGATGTTAATCAGTCGTTTTACAAGTGTGCGACAGAGACAACGCTCTAAGAAGCAGAAATTGGCCTACCTAAAGTTTTTACACAAAAAAAAGTTAAAGTAAATTTATAGGTTTTGTACCTGATTGTGTTTTAAGTCTTCTACACTTGCCAATTAAAAAAATCACAATTGTAAAGCCTTTTATGCCCGTGAAAATACACGACCATCAGTTGATCTTAATCGATGTAAAAAATATTTCCTCAACATACTTCTACAACGAACACATTCTATAACCGCACTATGAAATTCCACAAGCTGCAAGAAATGGGATGGAATGGATCGATTTAAAGAAGGGCAAGCTTATCTTCCATTTCTAATTATTGTCATACAGAATGACGCGCCTAAAATAGGCGCGTCATTCAATAACAGAGTTTCGGGTTGCGTTCAGTTTTGTATTTGGGCCTTAGTTTTGTATTAAATAATATATGTATATATTTAAAATAACTTTTTAACCAATTTGTAATGTTGTTCAATGCAGCCCACTGCTAAGATATATTTATCACAAGAAACTACTTAAGTTTTGCATTAAAATGGCATCACAAATTATTGTGAAAAGGTAATTTAATGAAACCTTAATATATTATTATACATGCACTTGGCAAATTTGTGCTTCCCTGCATAAGAAGACAAAAATTCTAAGCAACAATATGCTTAAAAAAGCTTACTCGCCTTATAAGAAATTAAATAATTTAAATTGAATACGTTTTATTTATTGAAGTTGTATAAATAAATGTTTCAGGGCACATTTTTACACAACGTTTTCTAGTCCCAAACTAAGCCACGCTTGTACTATGGGTATGGGTACTAGATAACTGATAAACATACTTAAACATACTTTTGTAACGGTATAATAAATAAAATTATTCAACGAGTTCTATTTAATTTATTTAAAAAAAATTACATAGTTTAATCGGGTTCAATTTTGATTTGAATTCTGCCATATGAAATTGTACGAATCGAAATTGAACGCCATAAATTGCGTGACTAGTTTGGTAAGTTTCACTCGCATTAATACAAGAGATCAAGCGGAATTTCACACCGTTTATATAGTTTATTTGTCGCCGTGCGAAAATTACCAAAATAACAATTGTGCTACATTTATTTTAAGTAAATATTATAGTGTTAATATTACCGGGTATTAAAGAGTTACCCAAGTTTCCCGAAAACTTTTCCAGTAACCATAACCCCACGGAAAATTTTAACCGCACGCGGATATAATGCAAATTGTTACTTAATTTTAAAGCGCCCGCATATCTGGCGAATCCCATTTAAATGCAAATTAGTTAGCACTCGATTCATAATTTTCATATACGAGCTCTGCGTATTAAAATCATATTACAAATTGAGTGGTGGAACTGAAAAAAGACTAAACACTTTATATAACAAATAACATTCCCCTTTTATCGTAGCTTCTCATTGAAACAAATATATAATTTAAAAAACTAAAAAACCCTACTGCCTTTATGTGTATTTTTTTTTATTTTGATATACCTCTCAAGCTGAAATTCATCAGGCTGCAGAGTGTGCCAAACAACTATACATACTTAGATACATACTCTCGAAAAACATAATCCTCCTTCTGGCGCAGTCGGGTAAAAAGGACACCACCACTTCGACACGACAACACGCGGATAGCGCGAGAATTTCTTTCGAAGCAGCTTTAAAATTAATTATTATTATTAAAATTAATTTAGCAACTGATAAAATTCATTACAGAAAAAAAACTAATATAAAGTCTATAGTATAAAAAAGTTAAATAATGTATTATCATCACATTATAAAAATGAAAAATATAGAATAGCGGTAATATTAGGAACCAGCCGTTTTCATTTTCCATTTGACGATATGGTTTCAGAAAAAAAGAGTTATTTTCTCTCTTTTTTACATCAAAAATTCGCAAGTGCGCTAGCGGTTCACCTGATGTTAAGTGATAACCGCTGCCCATGGTCAACTACAAAACCCTAGGGGGTTACATAGCGTTGTCACCTTTTAAAAAATGCCATGGTTACCTCACAGACTAGACCAAACACACACGTACAATAGTTGAACTTCCCATCGATCTTTTGTGAGGTCGCAGTGTTTCCTCGGACGAAACTGCCCATTTGTGCAACAGCAAAGATTGCAGTGCGGCCGTGGCTCTACCGTAGCTAAAATCCCAAAGCCTCAATGAATGCTTCAATAAAACTCCTTAGGCTGTAGGAATAAGTATCTGACTAAATTTATAACTAACTAAAGTTTGTGTCCAACTATTACATATCTGAGTTAAGAAAATATTTTAAAAACTGAAGTTTCATCGTATCACCTCGAATATTGTAGTTTATGTGTTTACATCATTTACAACTATCACCACAGGTTTACCCTAATACAGTAATATTTCTTATTTAACTGTGAACCTGTTAAACCACTAGACTTTTCAATGAAAAACGCCACTAACCACTCCATGTAGGTATAGCATATCAGTTTCTGTCACATGTTCATTACCATAAAATTTAACGCATCTACAAATAACCTTCCTATCTGAAACGTTAGTACGCATTTAAATAGCCTCATAACGGGGGTTGTAGCGAGCTACCCTGACGGCCTACTATAATATTACGGGCAAAACGTTCTCGCAAAATGTTCAATATTTTGCGGTAAATAGATATAATGAATACCATTGAACGAAATTTTGCATACGTTATATGAGTTTGGCAGCGAGAAGCGACATCTATTGCTAGATCAAATAATAAATTAGTGTATCATAATACATAGTGATGCGAAGAACACCAGAGAGAAGTTTAAGCTGCATTTTTACTAGGGGCCATTTGTCCCCTCTGCTACTCGACACGAAATTTACGTGCCCCGCGCGATGTCGCCCGACGTCGCTTCCTAGTTACCGCTACTTCCTCTCGGTAGTGTGAACAAGGTAATATTTTTTTTTATAAACTGAGTTTTTGCTTTCAGTCCCGAGACTATTAAAGCTTCATCTGACGCAGAACCGGTGGCTAGAGGGAACCGAATTCGCAATGACATACCAATACCACCACGTGAATGTTTGGCGATATGTCTCCGCGAAATGTTGCCTAGCGAAAACGCAGCTTTCCAATTCTCGATTAATCCACCGTTGCTTTTATTGAAATAAAATTATGATGTATCTTACAATTAATCAAAGTTGTAACATATTTTCTTTTTTTAAATTCAGGTATTATATTTTGGAAAAGAGCTAACCTTATCCCTTAATTTTAATATTTAAATATTATTTCCCTAAACAACTTTAGCTTAAAAAAATTATGAAATATTTTCATGAATTTTTAATATATAATACAAGCGAAAATTCCTGAAAACTTAACTTTGTATATTTAAAACTTAATATCTGAGAACAAATATATTTATAAAAAAGTAAGTGTAAACAAGCGCCATCTATCCACTCCTTAAAGCACACCTAATAATGGTGTAAAAAAATTATTTGTGCAACATAACGATAAATGCGTTGTTTGAAAAAAAAGCATGTTATTTAAATTTACAAAATAAGCAATATTCCGATGTAATTTTTTTTTAATCACTCGTATTGTTAATTGTTATGCAGTTTTTACATTTCCGGCTATTCCAGGGCTACCAAAATGATTTGACATTTAGTTAGTGTCAACTGTCAATGTTTTAAAGCCAAAGCATTTCCGCTTAGAAATATTACGCGTGCCGTGCCGCCATTTTCTGCTCTCTGTTTCTTGTCTATAATTTGGAATAGATCGTCTTTATGGACAAGGTCCGTAGATAATTTTTACTCTTTGGATACCTACATTATCGTGCTCTCTGATTACTTACAACTAACTGTCAAAACAATGTATTCAACTAAACAATTATTGTATTTTTCAGGTATAACAGATTGGTTAATTATGTATGAAGTATTCTGACATGGAGGCTTGGACGAGTTTGTGTCGTTGTTGTCTCTCTCCTGATTCTGATGTGTCATTATTAGACACCGAACAAAATGTACATGATAAGTTTCATGAAATAACCACTCTTGAGGTAGGTCGTACACATTCTTACAAGATAAGACTAATATTGAATGACAAATACCTAAAAAATATTTTAGTTCTAAGTCTCTTCACATAATATAATCTTATAATCCACATTAAAATAAACATCATTTAGGTATACTTCTACTATCTTACTGGACAGAAGTTGAAGTTATGAAGCTCATTATGCATAAGTTTGTCTAAAAATGGAAGGATAATGTTCTCTGTACACTTTTTTCTTTCATTTAATATTTATATAATGCACAAGTCATTATTTTTGCTGAAAACCCTAGTACAAGTCAAAATTGCTAATTCAGGAAACTTAATAGGGTTTTTTTTTTAATTTAAACAAACAACAGTATGCACTACTACTAAATCTGCGGTAATCTCTTAACATCAAGTAAGCTGCTTGCTTGCTTACCAACTTCAAATAAATCCCTTAATGTCACATTAAAATACGTAAAAACATGACTCTTACTAGACATTTTTTAACAATTACAGGTAAAGGAAGATGATGGGCTACCACAAAAACTGTGCAGTGATTGTTTTTCCATTCTTAATTCAGCTTACCAATTTCGTAAACAATGTATGAAAATGGACAAGGAGCTCAAACTGCAACTAGAAGCTCTATTAACACAAAATAAAAATGAAGATGCACAATTGTCTGAGCAAAATGAAATTAAAGAACAAAATATAAATGATGCAGCTTATGACCCTATGAAACAACTGCAAGACATTATAAAAGCTGAGCCAACAGATAGTGATGATGATTACTATTATGTCCTTGTGATAGATGACCCAAAGAAACAAGAGAAAGAAGAAGCTGTTGAAGAACAGTTGCCAAAAATTAAAGTTGAAGACACCTATGACATGCCCTGCGATAATGAAGAGGAGAGTCAAGAAGAGGAAAAAGAGACTGATAGTGTGCCTTTTGAAAATTCCATTGAATCATTTCTAATATCAAACTCGCGTGTTCCTGACAGTGTACCAGCTACTATTCTTGAAAATGAGGAAGACAGTCAAGAAAATGATAATACCTTTGAAGGAATGGATATAAATGAAACTGAGAATATTTCGCAAGAGCTAATTCTACCTCAAATGATAGATTCCCAGGTGCCTATTGGCATAGGAAACAGTGATGAAGCAACTATTACTAATATTGTTGAGGAACTGCCAAAAAATGCCAATTTGATTAAAATACTAACAACTACGGGTGCTGAGCGCACAATAATGGTGAAAAGTGAAGATGGCATTAAGTATTTAACCAATCCGCAGTTTGTTTCAGCTGAAGATGGGGAAGGCATGTCTCAGGAAGAGGTAATCTTTTGTGAAGGTGATGACGCATCACAGTTCCAAATTTTGAAATGCGACGGATCAGAGCTAGTGATAGAGTATGCTGATGACAGCCAAATCACAACAGTGTTACAACAGGAAGATGGTACTTTAGTGTGCGATTGTGGTGAACAGTTTCAATACCTGGCCGATTACGAGAAACACCAACACAAACACAATCCAGCGGGAGAACATCTCTGCAATTTGTGCGGAAAAGGTTTTGAAACATCTGAGATATTAATAGGTCACATGCTTCTTCATAGTGTTACAGGTCTACTAGTCACTTGTCCATTTTGCAATCAGCTAATTAGGCGGAACTCTTTGACACAGCATATCAAATACGGTCACAATAATAAACCCCGCTGCAGTATTTGCTTAAAAACCTTTGCAAATCAAAACAACTTGAAACGTCACATGATGATACACAGCGATATTAGGGAGTTCGAGTGTGACATTTGCTTTAAAAGGTTCCATCAGAAGATCACAATGCAGACGCATAGACTAACCCACATGAACCCTTTCTCGTGCAACCAATGCGGTAGAACCTTCGAGAATAAAGACGCGCTGCAAGCTCACCGCGAGTCCGATGAGTGCACTAAAAGCAAAGTGTTGAAGGCCAAAGAGGAATTGATGAAAACGGTCAAACAGGAGATCACAACGAACCTGGGAAAAGTCCTGGGCTACGCTTGCTCCCTGTGCAAGAAAATGTTTTCAGTAGAGTCCGCTTTAGAGCAGCACGTCGAAAGCACGCACATCGTGGATCCAAACGATTTCACGGAGAACGATAAAAATATGCGCGGCAAAAATGCCAAGAGGTTCGAATGCAGCATATGCGGTAAGAGCTGCGCTAGTCAGGCGATGCTTATAATGCACGAAAGGGTGCATACGAACGAAAGGCCCTTCCCGTGTCAGCTCTGCTCGCTGCGGTTTAAAACTAAAACGCATTTACGCACCCATCAGTTAACTCACACAAGGGAAAAGAAGTTTGGATGTTCTGTGTGCATGAAATTCTTCGCTCTCAAAGGAAACTTGGTGGTACACTTACGCACTCACACCGGAGAACGGCCTTACGTCTGCTCGTTGTGTGGTGATGCCTTTATAGACTCGAAATATCTGAAAAAGCATAAACTCAAGAAGCATGCAATCGACAATGTACCATATAATAAATATTAGTTTGTGATTTCAATGAAGCTCATTGGGAGTGATTTTTATATCTGAATCCAACTGTTTCTAAAATACTTCATTAGATAGAACTGTTCTATATATATAATGCACTTGTAATATTTTTGTCTGTCTCCTTTTCTGGAATTGTAAAATTGGTGGGATTATGAAAATAACTAATTTAATTTATATTGAATTCTAAGATTAAAGTCGAACTTAGAACATAAAAGGCCTAGTCTAGGTTACATGCAGTATGTTGATTAAAAATACAATTATGTTTTTGTATGCAGTTGCAAAGTAGTGTGTACAATTTTATTTGGCGCTCTGTATATTTAATAATTAAATTTTCACAAGAAAATAGAACATAAGTTGTAAAAGACATAAGTTGCATACCTTCATTTTACCCTGTTCATTTTATTAGTATTGTATCAGTATTGATTTTAACATGGGATAATAAGTAAACAGAAATATAAAATTTTCTAAGTTTTACAACTCAGTTACACAATTGATGTAATAAGCATTTCTGTACTGAACACTCGTATACCAATGGACCCATCAATTTTTCTAAATGTTGAACAAATACATTGTCAATTTATATTATACTATTTTCTCTTTTTAATATATCTCTTTGTAACATTGAATATGCCATTATTACATCAAAATTACTTAATTATGACAACACAGACAAGTTTTTAAGACCTTAAGTTTTATATTATTTACTTTTGTGCAGAACATAAAAGTGACTACATGGGGATAATTTTATTGCACGTTATACTTGTTTATTTGTTAAGACAGTCCATTTTAAGATCACTCATCAACCAAGTTATTATTGCCTTATAAAAATCTAGCCAATAAGTGGAGAGTTGAATTAAAAAAAAATGCTTTTTATCATAATAAAACAGTTATTTTAATTTCGATTCCAAATTCTCTGCTTTCTTAATCTTCTATAAATTAACACTATGATTTCAGATAAGAAAATTAGGAAACCCTTTCATTTTCTTTCGACAGTGCAGCTAAGCCGTTGGAAGGACATTGTAGGAATTTTGCCGCTTCCGCAATTTGTCCAAATATCAAATTAATTATGTATTTCCTATTGTTGATTATTTTGTTTTAATATATGTATCAATAGCTTGTGGTATAAATTTCAACTTGCTAAGTATACCGGTTCCTGAAAAAATCGGTGGTGATTATTTACCAATTTAATTATGGCGCTCAGGCGGTATAATGGATAGGTACGGAATCGTTGCGGTACGAGTTTGACTCGCACTTGACCGGTTTTTTAAATTTGCAATCAAGTAATCGCTTATCGTAATAGATGTAAAATTCTGAAACTGATAATTGTAGAAATGCACAATCACGGAGATTACTTAGTTATTGATTTTTTTCCCAGATGGCGCTATAACGTAAAACTATCGCTACTCAAGATTTTGAATGAAATAATATTTAAGTTCTAATTTCTTTACTGCTCTATTAATTTTAATTTTGATTTTTTTTAACTGTAGTACTCGTAACACGAATGGGCAGATCCCTCCGGGAAAGTACCACGACAGAAGACCGTGAGTGGAAGAATTACACTAATGCGTTTTGTATGATGAGTGAAAGTGAAGTAACTGGGGCCCACTTTATGAACTACTACGAAACACAAACTGTATGTATAAATAAAAATAGAAAAAAGGAATTTTGAGCGGCCAAAGATGAGCCGTGAAAAATTGTGACAAGGGAATGTTTTTCTAACGCATCATCAGATGATTAACAGTGCCATCTAGTAGTCAATAGTACTCGCAGCCAAAGTACATTTTTTAAATGTTCTATTTTATTTCGAAATTGCGATTCTTTTACAAAACAAAATACAAAAACTTTGTTACGTATAGTTGACATCATATCTTGTTTGTATCAAAAAACGTTATATCATCAAAATCAATCCTAATTTTTTGAATAAAAGGCCACCTGAAACGAGATAGTAAACTTTATAAAGTAAATCTGAACAAAGTATTAATACTAGTACCAGCTATTCAATAACAGATGGCAGTCTGTCGTGAATTTTATGTAAACTTGCCTCAAATTTTTTTCAAGCTTTTGTGAGATTAAAAACAAATAAACACAATAAGCCACAGAGATACACATTGATATCATTTAATATTACGGATACGGAGTATTATTAATTAAAAATAAACCGTTTTTAATAAATAAAAACATTTTTATTGCCGGACTGGGGGAAAGTAAAAGAAATTATCCTTATTAAATAATTTTCTAACGGATTATTTTGTACATTTTAAAGACAAGTTAATTGATAATTGTTGTTGTTAACAGAAATATTAGAAATAGTATATTAGAAAACTGGTCCTGTACGGTTCTCTAATTTTGCTTTCATTAATGTGTTATGGTACTATCGCGTTTATCTAAAAAAAAAAAGTCTTTTGTAGCCTTTGCAGGTGTTGAAACAGTATTTAAATACCATTTCTCGGAGAATCCAGACAATATATCTATAGGCGATGGTCCCTTAATAAATTACTTTATCAGATATTGCTCGTACTGAGGATCGACTTAAAGCCGCAAGACGTCCACTCTTGAACATAGGCCTCCCCTTAGAACGCCACCACGGACGACACTTTGCCATTTGCATCCACCGTTGCAAAAATTATCAATTTTCACTATGTAGAAGTGTCGAAATAAATGTATATAAAGCAATTGTGAAATTAAACGTTGGTATTAACGCGTGATAATGATATGCCTATGTTCAGCAGTGAACTCAAACAGGCTGAAATGATGATGAATGATAGTTATAAAAATTCTGTTAATCTTTATCAAGAATTCCCTAACTATTCTTTCTTATTAGTGACAAAATCTATTTATTATATTACATTTTTAAATGACTTAATTAGAGTTTCGAATAAAACATTTCATAAGTCAAATAATATATTCTTCCTCAAGTAAAAATCACCTGTTAACAATTAAATAATGAAATATCTGCATTTAATGATGGTTTACGACAAGTACAACATGGAAAATCTGGCCGCCAGTCTTTTTGCGCGTGCAGACTGTGGGTCAGATACACGCGTAGCTGTTCTGATCCAATATATCATAATGCTTTCAGGGCGCTGTTGATCCTAGCCCGTATGATAGTGCGTCATATACGTTTACCAACATACGGATGGTTTTCTAGCCAACAATCGCAAGAGAGTTGGCTCACCGATGCGCAGAATACGCGGAAATGCTAATGGCATATTGAAGGTATATTAATATTTAGCTTCCGTACGTTTTTGCGCGTAAAACTCAAAAGCTAGCCTATAGATTGACTTGATAGTTGTTCACAATGTAGCTGCTATTATATAGAACAATAATAATTAAATAGAACAAATGAGTATTTTTATATACTTCTTATTCCGAAATATCAACGTAAAAGAAAAAATAGTCACAGAGAAGCTTGGCTGGGTTGAGCTACTTGAAGGTAATATGTGGTAAGACTTCTGGGTCCGCATGATGTGCGGCACTGTAGGGTGGCGAATGAGGTTTTATATCGTTTTTTTTATGTGAAAAGTTGCCAAGCGAGCAGACTGTTCACCTGATGTTAAGTGAATACCGCCGCCCATGGACATCTGCTACACCCGAGGGTTACAGATGCTTTGACAGCCTTTGGGAATTGGGCTCCGGTTACCTCACTCACCAGGCGAAACGCAAAAGAATTCGACTTCACGCCGGTCTTCTGTGAGGTCGTGGTACTTACCCGGACGAGCCTGCCCATTCGTGCAACAGGCGAGGCTGCTGCGTGGCCCTACCACAGCATGACCATAAGAGGGCTCTGCCTACACCCAATAAGTACCAGGAGCGCAGAGGTGGGTGAGGTTTCACGCGCGCTTACGGGACGTTGCGGCACGGGCGCGGGCGCGACGGCTCCGTTGCCGCCCGCTGATTCATTGGGCGACGCGGCGTCGGCTTCAACGCACTTGATACTATTATTATTCTATTAATATTTACTATTTATTTATACTGATCAGTAAACTACAGAAACATATACCGATGATATCTGTAAAATATAAATACTGTCGAAAGTTTGGGTAAACGATAGATTTGAGAAAGTTTATGTAATGATTTAATCGGAAAACCGTGATTTACTACCGTACTTACTACTTTAAAACCATATTAACAAAAAATACCCCACTTAATATATATGACATCCACTTGTCGATATTTACACGTGTAGCATCAACATTTGACAAAGTACCACAACCTGTACAAAAATATAATTATCTCAACTGCTGAGCGTTCGCAGAGTTAATTCAGTGAGATGACTAACGATTCGCTACAAGACTTAGTGTGAATTGGTGGACTTTACAAATTTTGTATTGATATTATGTACTAAATTTATTCAAGTCAGCATCTAAAACCTCAGCTTAATTGTTTAGGATAGTTACGATCTGAAATTGGATGTCTTAATTTATCGGATGCAATAAATAATAAATAAAGCAGAATTAAAAAAGTATCAAGACTTCATGGTCCTCAAGTGATCGCTCAGTGAGTGGCGCTCGGCGCGCTTTGTTCCCGGGCTGGCAGCCGACGCGTCCGCCTTTGCATAAGTCAGGGCTGTGGATACGTAAACATTAAAATTTATTTTTATTTTATATTTGTATTATATTTTTGTTTGATATACAATAAATGAAAGTAATAATAAGTAGTTTGTTGACGACGCCAATGTGTGGGGTTAATACTGTTGATACTCACGTAGGCTAAAACAAGACTATTGTACCTGTACTATTATATTGTAACTGATTTTTTAAAAAAGAGCAACTGTTGAGTTTCTTGCCAGTTTCTTCTCAACAGAAACTGCTTTCCGAACCGGTGGTAACTTACGAACGTGTTAATTTCTTGTAAAATTTTGACGTTTCATAAGAACGCGCAAGCGTCTATGTGAATAAAGATATTTTATTATTATTATTATTATTATTATTAATAAAAAATGGCTGCGTCCCGTACAATTATCTCATAAGCAGAAAGGCAAAAGTAAACGGTGATAAAATATTTTGAAATTTTACTTATTGAACAACAACTACGCTTATTTATATTGAAAGATAATATAAAGACTTTTAGTATACTAATATAAATAAAGTCAGTATCATTTATATGACCCATGCGACACGTCTCATAGACTATTTTTCTGACCTGTAAAGTGTTAGTACCACAAAGTATTGAGAATTGAATGTAAGCACGTTGTACATATCGATAATAAAATCAGTGACAGCCCTATCTGCGAGCGAGGCGGGCCGATAACAATATCGCTGAGTGCGCGCGACGGGTGCGAGCTCCGCGTCGAGAGTCCGCCGCGCGCCTAATTTACTCCGCCGCCTGCCGCCGCTGCCGCCCTGGTACTCGCGGCGTGTCGTTCGTGTCGTAATCATTTTTTACGCGTCTCTAATGAACGAAACGAACTCTAATGAACCAAAGACGAACGAACGAACGAACTTTTATTCTGTTATATATATGAATTAGCTGTGCCCGCGTCTCCGTTCGCGTGGAATTTAAAAATAAATAAAAAAAATCTAAAATTAAAGTAGCGTAAGTTACTCCCTAACATCAGCTATCTGCCAGTGAAAGTCCCGTTCAAGTCGGTCCAGCCGTTTCAGAGATTAGCCGGAACAAACAGATAGACAGACAGATAAAAATTGTAAAAAATTTTATTTTGGTATATGTACCGTGTATGTACATATGTACATATGTATTTACTAAATGCATATTTATACATCCATATGCATTTAGTAAAAAGCGGTTACCTATTTTAATATTAAAAACAGACACTCCAATTTTATTTATCTGTATAGATTTAGCTCCTGCATGTTTGTGTTCACAGACTCAAAAACTAGCCGATGACTAGCCGATGTTTGTACACAACGCAGCTAGGCTATTATTGAACAGAATATTGTTTTATATAATTTTTATTCAAAACTAACAGAAGAAACAAAAGAAGCCACAGCGATCGTTAAAAAAAATATTATTTACGAGTATATAGAAATAAATAATTTAGTGACGTTTACTCCCAAAACGTGAAAGCTAAATTAGGAGTCAGAAATTAAAGCATCACAGTAAAATAAAACTGGACGTATCAACATGTAGCATAAAACGGTAGCGCAGAGCAGAAAAATATTTTGGTGGTTGATTCCTTGCCTTTAATTACTGAAAGCTTTAACGGATCGATTGTGACGGTTGAGGAATGATGACATAGGATCAGCTATAAATGAACATTTTAGTTTGAAATATTTTCATACGTTACAAACATTCGTGGCTTGAAACTTAACTCAAACTATACAAGAAAAAGCTATGTTACAATTGTTTAAACAAATTATTAACTGCTTACGATCCTACCTAGCGCTGTGGAATTCCTTTGACTGCATAGATATTTAATTTAGAAAGAAAAATTTGCAAATATCAACTGATAGACAATCTGAAGACACGGATACAAAAGTTCTCGAAAATAATTCTAACGCCCAATCTAAAAACTTTGAAAATAGTCACCGAAGACAACATTGAAGCTTGTTCTAAATGGATCTACCATTTCTCAATTTTTTCCAGAGAGAACGCGAAGGTAAAATGTTTAATGTATAACAATATTACATTTCTACTACCCATATTAAAAGGCTGGGTTCTTCATGTACAAAGAGTAAGCAAAATACTGAGCCTTTACGGGCAGGGTAATATAGACGTCAACATATTTACGCGATTGATCCAATTTAAAATTGTCTGCATACGGCAGCTTTCTCGGCCGAGCGCCGCCAATAATGCTGCCGAAGTACTATTTTGTAATGATATTCTCTGAAACAAAGAGGCAATATTGAATACGATACTACGGACTAAAACATAGTTTTAGTTGCTAAAGTATTGCTTCTCGATAAGTATTAGTGGAACCCGCACATTAAATGTTCCGGATCTGGGTTTTCCCCAAGGGTTTACGTCAAGCAGGCGGCAGGTTATTAAAAAACCTAGAAACCACTTAAAAACCAATACAGCAGAAGCTCGAAGAACATGTTTCACAGGTATATGTATTATTTAAATGTTTCATTTTATTACTAGAAAATTAGCGCGCAGAGACTAAACAAGATTAAATTTTTATATTTATTGAAATACTAGCGACACGCCCCTGATTCGCGCGGGTGCAACGCTGAATGTTTGTTTTCGACATCGCATTAGAAACCTCTAAAATTATCAGTGGTTCTCTACTGTATTATGCATGATTTATACATATAAACCTTCCTCACGAATCACTCTATCTATTAAAGAAAACCGCATCAAAATCCGTTGCGTAGTTTTAAAGATCTAAGCATATAGGGACAGAGAGACAGCGGGACGACTGACTGTTTTATACAAATTAGTGATAAGCCTTCCGGCTATAAAATATGCTTTTACTGACTGCGGTAGTTCGAGGCAACGTTCTTCGATGTTGCAATAATCGGCAGGACCGTCGGAGAAAGTGCCACGACTTCACAGAAGACCGGCGTGAAGTGGAAGTGTTAAACTTGTGGGTTTCGTCTGGTGAGTGAGGTAGCCAGGGCCCACTTTATTAAAAGGCTTCACTGCAACCCTACGAGTGTTGCAGATACGTTGAGGGTTACCACTTAACATCATGGTAACCAACAGCTAGTTTACAACAACCTTCTGACATAAAAAAAATCTACTATAACTTTATCTGGTTTACAAAACAATTAACGAGAACGTTTTTATTATTTTATTTTATATTTATAGGACAAAACATCATTAGGCTTACCTTGCAAATTCAGCGCACCGCTCGATAATACCTAACGTAGAATCGTTTTATGTAATTAAAAAATTACATGAAACGATTCTACGTAAGGCAAATTAATTGCCCAATCGCAGAAGCCATAGTTCCTCTGCTCCCAATTACCCGCCTTTGACAACTTTTGCCAGTTTTTAATTAAACTTTTTACAATAGGCAAGTTATTCCAGTTTGCTTTTGATTGTAAAGAGTTCAAACACTCGTGCGCGTAATTATAATACTTTTCGCGCGTAATAATTATACTACGCATTAAAACGTAGGTTGGAATCCCACGGGGACGAATGATTTAAATCATTTACAACAAATTCACATTTTACTCAATACGCATTACTAGGCCTAACTGATACACAATTGCTAGGGTAGTTGAGTTGCCAAACAATTAGTTTCATAACGGGTCAACGGGTCCCATATTTACCCGAAATAGGTATGTGTAAAATCTATATAATATTAAATACGTGAAGCAAAAATTTTGTACTCTTTTTACGAAAATTGCGCGGACGGAGGAGTATGAAATGTCCCACACTTATATTTATATAGATAAGGAGTGCAGAATGCTAATAATTTTTTTTAATTATGCATAAAAAAGACATTTAATCAATTATATGTATTTGACACACACGCGTATAGAATATTTTGTTTATTGTGTATTGCATTGCAGAATTGATTAATATTGTAGTTATAATTTAAATTAATTATGGCCATACACATATTCTTAGAGGTATTAAAAAGGACAAAGGGCTATTTTAATTAAAAAAAAAAGATATTTATTTAATGGCTTCCACGCGAGCGACGCCGCGGATTAAAACTACTTGTTTTATACATGACAATAGCTATTTAAAAATCAGTATATAAATGATTCGACTTTAGAACCGAGCGTTGTTGTGTGATTTCCATTAGGGAGAAACATTAAAAAGGTGACACGTAAATAAAAAAAAATAAAACAAACTAAACGAAAAAAGAAATAGATGAAAAACAAACAGCCCAGTCCCGCCTTAAAAAACTCCCCTTGACTTTGACACTTACAAAATTGTAACCAAGTACCAGGAGTGCAGAGCCAGAGAAAACGTGACTAACGAACGCGCTGAGAGGCCGCCGCTATGGCGGCAGCGGGCGGTAAAGTTGTTAACAAACGCGGCGATACTCCGCGTCGGATACGCCTGGTACCGGTACGCGATAGGCAGGCTCAAAACTAGGGCCTCATAATTCGAGCTATATGTGTACTAGTGATGTCCCTTTGTAAATTTGTTCACATAATAATGTGAATTTGTTCACATAAGACATTTCTTTTTGAAAAAAGTGCCAACCTTTACCCGTGTTTTCGCCCGCGTAAGTCTTTTCGAAGTAGAATTGTTGATTTTCAGAGGATAAAAGTTTTCGACGAGTTAATCCGGCGTACGGACTATCTGCTGGGGAATCTCATTTAAATAACTTTCCCAGCGACGCAATATCGAGTTCCGACGCGAACAGCGGACGAACACAATCCCGAAAGATTCGCATCTCTAATGCCCTAGCTGCACCAATAGACAGACAGTTGTCATATAATTAACGTTAAGTTGTTGTAATTTGCTAAATTCAGTCTTAAACACTCTAACAAGACTCCGCGTGATAATTTAACTAATATTAATACGAGAAGCAAAAATTTTGTACACCTATTTTCGAAAATTGTGCAGACGGAGGATTTCCCACAATTATAGTTTATATAGAGAAGTACAGAATGCTAATATTTTCTTTTAAAATTATGCATATAAAGTACTTTAAATCAATATAGAAAACATTATGCAACGAGGTATTTGAGACGCACACGCATATATATATATCTTTTGTTAATTGTGTATTGTATTATAGAAGTCTATCTTAGCAACTACACAAATCGAGTTATCCGTCGGTCATCTTGCTATGCTATAAAGGAATGATTCGGCAACTCTGTTCAGTTCACCGTTATCTATATTATAATCGGCAATAAATATTGCACATCGAAGTTTGGAAAAAGAAAATTGCATAAAATTGCATAATTTCGATTTCGTAAAGCGTTATTCTGTCACACACTGCCTATGAGTATGTGTCGTGAATTGTCAGTCGTTGTACAAGTGTGCGACAGAGATAGCGCTCTACGCAGCAGAAATTAGCCGATTGTCTCTTTCCAATTGTCGATATTAATCGCTGAGATTATTATGAAATACGCCGGTGGAGGGCCACACAGCAGCCTCGGCTGTTGCACGAATGAGCAGGCCCGTTCGGGTAAGTACCACGACCTCACAGAAGACCGGCGTAAAGTGGAAGTATGAAAAATACTTTCGCGTTTCGTCTGGTGAGTGAGGTAGCCGGAGCCCAATTTTCAAAAGGTTGTTAACGCATCTGTAACCCTCGGGTGTAGCAGGTGTCCATGGGCGGCGGTTTTCACTTAACGTCAGGTGATGTGCGTGGACCCCACGATAATTACTATATATTATTATAAGTACAGAATATTTCAATATCAATGCCGCGTCAGTACTAGTAAGTATTCGCGGTAGTAATACATTCAGATCTTTATAACGTCGAGTAAACCTCTGTGGTCACGACAGCTCCGACAAGTGTCGTGACAATATATTATGTCGACAAAACACGGTAAAAGTT